TGTGTGTGTGTGTGTGTGTGTGTGTGTGTGTGCTCGGGGAGGGGAGGGGGGGGAGGTAGAATCGGGTGGCAGATACGGTTCGTGATTTGCTGATCCAGTATGTACCTAAACTATCTATTTCTATATCGCCAACTGTGACAGTCGTGAAATTGGTTTTCCCTTCTGACGGAGCATTAACGTTGAATCGCACTGACTTTGTTCGGAACGGTTTACAATCTATTCGATTTTACTCTAACCCGATTTTCGCGAACTGGCTTATGCAATTATTCATGTCTTTCTTCAACTTTGGTCCGAATTCCTAGATAGTATAAATATATTTATTGGTTAAGAATAACAACTAACATTCTTTTCACTGCGATTCGGGTGAACACTATCGAGCTTGAACACAATCCCGCGAAGCTGCACTAAATTGTTTCTACCACCTAGCATGCATCTAACCTTTTTGCTTCTGTTTCAGGACTGACTTTGAATTGGGGTGTGTGGCTTGGTTACTCTTCTGTGTTGGGCTCTTGTTCTTTCCCAATTTGCGCGCCGCTCTACCTAGCAGCAGCATTTTGGACCAGCATCTACGACACTGTCTATTCCTCTCAAGTGAGGGCCAGGTTTGTTGTCGTATTATCATTTTTTTTAACTATCCACTCGTACTTGCTCCCTCTCTCCCTCCCCCCCACTGGTGTTGTTTGCTCTCTTTCTCGTGCACATGTATTGGAGTCCCCAGTTAGTATCCGATTTTAGACTACCTCCATCCTCCATCCCTACACCAAAACAAAAATCCACAAACAAATAAACAAAACCAAAACAGCTCATAAACCCCTAAACTGTTGTTTATGTGCACGCGTAGGCATCATTTTATCTCCACATCTGATACGCGTCCGATGTATATTTTAATTTCACTCAGGTCTTACTTTCAACTGGGGTACGCTACTCGGGTATTCGGCCATCGTCGGTCATATTGATCCCTTAATCTCTGTGCCCCTGTACATTGCTGGCATCAATTGGACTTTCATCTACGATACTATTTATGCCCATCAGGTTTGTTCATTCCTCCTCGTGTGCATCGATAGTTTGAGTTTCGCGTTCATTGCTAGGATGTGTGAAATCCGTGTGTGCTTGTGCGCGTGTCTCTGTCTATCGATTTGCTTGAACAAATAATTCGCCGTATTTGTGCTGTTTGTGTTCCCAGCTGCCTCTTCCTATATACTACTGCGCTCGCGTTGCCGTTAGCACCATCCCACGCTCGATGATTGTGTGTAATGTGAATGTGGAGTAGATCAAGCCCGACTGATTGTTTCTCTGATTGGTGCTGTTACCCAACGGACAAATAGGACGTACAGTTCGTGGATGTTATGAATAGTTCGTCGAGGTCACTTCACAGTAATTACTGTCTCGGTTCTATCGCCATCTTCGCTAATCATTCGCTTAAGCCTAATCAAAGCAAATACCCTGAAAGTTCTGTTTCTTTTTCTGCACATAATTTGGCACTAATGTTGTATGTTCGCTTGTCTGTTCGTCTCTTCATCTCTCCGAAATCTTTAGCGTGAAACCAGGGCACAGTACAGATTCTGCCCATAAAGTCCCGGGTTTGGTCCCCAGTTGGGTCGATTGGTTCGCACTGCTGATGAGACCCAGCCAGGTCGAAACAGCTGTCCAGTGCTTCCTAGCTTTTCAGTTCACGCTTCATTTGCCATATACAGGACGAATTCCCATTTGAGATTCAGAACAGTCAGCGGTGTTCCCATCTGGTTAGGAATGAATATTCTTTCTCGTTTTCAGATGACTGAATACTCCCTGTTGGAGCTGGATTCCATAACCGCAGGTTCTAATCGTTTCCGAAAACTGTTGACTGTCGCCCTAGGNTTGGTCTTCATAGGGGGCATACATGACTCTTTCTCGTAGATTCATCTCCCAAACACTCCCAGAGGCGTAATCGGGAAAAACGGCACAAGATGCATGTTTCCTTTGTGATGTGATAGTATCGTTCCGCGTGTGCTGGTTAACGCAACCCTGGGTGGCCGTTTGTGTACCTATGCACGAGTCATTATTCACACAGTTGATAAAATAATGAATTAATGATGGTTAGCTGTGTTTTGATTGTCGGGTCAGTTGAACTCAGTTAAGTTGTTACATCATTCTGAACACACCTCAAAAAGGCAACAATAACAATACAGAATACATCACAAAACCATAACAATACTGATTGGTTTAACTTAGCGCAGATCGAGTGCCCCGAGTTTTGACTTCCTAAGCAATGTAGCTGAGTAAGGAACCGTCGAACGCCTGTATGCCTTAGTGCATGCATCTGTGTATTGATTCGGTCCTGACTATAGCATGATGATTCCGTGGTCCGCACACTGTACTTTATTACTCTGCGGGAATTCAGCTAGGCTTGACTAGTGATAATCTGTGCGTGGATTCTGTTCTCCAAGCCCATAGACACCCAAGTGTTTGATACCTTCACGTTCAGTACCACCGAATCTGAATTCTGCTTTTCATCTGTACTGTTTTTTCACGGTTGCGTTATATTTCCCATCCAACAAAGCAATAAGCATTTATAATGAAGAAACTGGATTATTCGTTCCCTGCAATACTGCACAATGAAGGGCGTAATGAACTATCCTCGTTAAGTTGTAAGGTGTGGAAGATTTGTTCTCCGAGTCCCCATCCAATTTAGCGTTGGATGCTTTGGGCTGTTTGGGCTTGCTTGTTGGATGCACCAATGAGTAACACGGAGTGATATTGAAATACCCATCAAAATTTAAATCAGTTGAACTGGGAATTAAAATGCTACAGCCTGTATACATCAAATACGAGTGGAATGAAATCCTCTCGCCACCGCAACACCACCATACACCCCTGATGCATCATGAAAACGCGCGGTTATTGTCACGTGAAATACAGCTTAGAGTTTACCAAGCGTGCATTCCCAACCTCAACGCGATTGACAATTCCTGGGTACTGCTATTCACACGAGTATATCGAAATGCTGAGACAAATCGGTCTTCGGTTGAACTAAAGATCATTTTGAAGGACAGGAGCGCTGTTGTTTATAAAATGCCGATCAACAGTATGCGCCAATTGTGCACTGACGTTTTGGATCAAAACCGACTGATTACAATGGACTATTTAATCAATGGTGTACTTTCCCTATATTTTTTTGTTCTGTGTTTGAATATATTCATGAATAATATTTAAAACAATACTGCCTCAGTTGTTCAATAATTCGTGATTTGTCCTGGCTTCGTTGATCTCTGTACAAAATGCGGTCTTCGTGGTGCTCGAGTTGTTGGAAATGGATCGAGAAATCTGATTGTCCCCATAATTTATATGTGTAATTGGTGACTGAAAATATCAGATAATGCGACAAACTGTCGTTAACAGTGGCTCTGGGGCATCTAATTATGTTTTGTTCCTGACATTCTATACCTTTGTTTGAATAATATTTTCTGTTTTAATCTGGAGTTTTAGTGCTTTCCTATTTTCCCTACCAGTCGAGTTGTAAGAAGATGAAAAACGAAACTGAAGCGCTTTTCACTGAAATAACTATCTTCCGAACGAAAGAATATTCCAATAGAAAGCGGTCATAAGTGTAACAGAACTGGGAAAATTAGTTGCCGATGCTGGGATTTGAATACACTCCGTTGCATTGGGGAGGATGGTGCACAACAGAGCAGGAAAACGCTCTTGTTAAAGGACTAGCCATTTTCATCTTTCTCGATAACTTAGGTGATGCATACATGACAAACGAACAGATCCTTTTTTGAAGCCATCAAATACCATATGGTGTAACTTTTGTTCGCACCCCATAGCACCTCTTATTTAAGTGTTCCTTATCGCGATTGAGTTGCTGTATTACATCTGGGATAAAGTTTGGATTTCACGACAAAACGAAAGTGTTCGATCTTCACTATGATGAACCAATAGGTGTCTAATGCATCACTGACATTGAAATACATAAATAAAGAGCTTCATTGTTTGTTCATGAGAGGTCTCTGTGATTGTCTGATGACATCATTGTTACCATACAGCAAAATATAGTAGAGCAAACTTAGGTGATCGTTTCCAAGGTCGCAGTATGCGCGGAGTACCAAATTCTATTGTTATTTGAAGGGTGTGTGGTAGGAGTGAACCACTGCGTTCAAAAGGAAGTACAGAGTCTAATCATGCACACACCTCACCAAGCTTTGTGGCCCCACAAGAATGACGCTCATAACGCAGTTTAGGAGACAGAAAACATCTTAGGTTGATCTTTCAGCGCCATCCTTCACATTTCACCTCCAAATCGTCTGTCCACCTCCAATGTTACAACTTGAGGCGGTCACTTGAAATAAGGAGCTGTTTTTCAAACAACTGCTAGGAACATGCGATACGCGTCCCAACTACATAGGCCTACTCATCTAAATTCGGTTTAGCAAGCAGTTTTCCATCGCAACTCTCCGAAACTCACGACAACCAAGTGTTACTAACCCGACCGCTCCATACCACCTACGTCAAACATCGACAGTTTCGATAGTATGCCTTCAATCCATCGAGATCCTTCACACGAGGACTCAAAGTCGCGGAATCATAAATCAGAACCGGTCTCTGTGTGACAGTATAAGCCACGTTTTTAGTTTCAACAGGACCTCAATTTTGAGTCCGTCCTTCGTATCGATTCCCAGGGAAGCTATTCTTGCTATGGCTCACACGACTCACACTGAGGTCAATCGAAAACTTGGCTGGAAACCTTCAAGCCTGACACTGAATTCATCGTTAGAACTACACTGGTTAGCCTTATTTTAGGACTTAACTTTGGATTGTTATCTCTAGACAGTCTCGATTAGCGTTTTCCAACAAGTTTTCTCATTCTCTCTCTCTGAAGATAGCGGAAACAAAAAGGATGGCACATCGAAGCGGAAGGAGTTTCACTCTAATGTATAACGCACGAGCTTTAGATACACACCTAGTTGCCGTGCAGCCACCATTCGCCGCGCAACTGCGCAATTAGAAAAGCTATCGGAGTAGTCTAAAGATAGGATCATAGTCATAGATGTAGGTCGATGCCCAGGGCGGTTTATCGGTGGAGGAGATTCTCTCCTGTTAAACGTTTGCTTCATGTCGGTTGGTGACACTCAATTTATTCATACGGTTGATTTCTCTCAGGTCGAAATTCTTAATGCACTCGGTGCCGTCATTTGTGATAAGTGGGTCTGATTCTTTCACAAAAATCCTGTGCCCATTGATTAATACCCTTATTTATCTAACTGTCTCTCTGCTTTGGAATTCCCCGATCCGTTCATGAATTCATATGTGTTCCGCCCCATTCTGTGCTCTGACACCGGTGTTTTTACTTACAGGACATAGAAGATGATCTACTTATTGGTGTAAAGTCCACAGCCATCCTGTTCGGTGAACGCACAAAACCCTATTTGAGCTTGTTTCACACATCTATGCTGGCCAGTCTTTTGCTGGTTGGACTGAATTCCAATGCCGGTTGGATCTATTACGCCGGCACGGGTGCCATGATGACTCATGTGGCTTATTTGGTAAGTGTCTCTCTGAAACTTTTTTCTCTCACTTGTTTTGTTTGTCCACCAGTGTAACTGTCTAGGTTGTATTAAAGGAGCCCCCTCGGTTTTATGAGATGTGCCCACAAGGCCACACCATGCAATCCGAGGACCGCATGAAAAGCAATTGTACCACAAAAAGCAACTAACTACAGACTGCAAAAACTACTGCATAATGTGCAGCCCGAGCAGCAGTACGGATACGGTTGTATAGTAGTATAGTATAGTACACCCGGATCGGGGTCAGAAACATGGGGGGGGGGATCACTGCAACACGTGTCATTATACCCAAGCATATAACCGTGATACTTCGTTTTATTCCCTTCTTGAATGGTTAGTCTTGCCATGTTACTATGTATGACCTGTCCGTGTTTGCTCGCTGCATTCTCATCTCACCCTATATTGCGCTTGATTTGGTTGTCGGTTTCTGCTCAGGACAAATTCTCGAACGCTGAACCATCAGAAGATGTTTGAGATTTTGCGGTCTTTCATTCTTTCAGATTTACCGAACCAAGTTACAGGATCCCGGAAGTTGCTTGAGCGCTTTCAAAGCAAGCAAAACCACTGGACTCATCTATTTCACGGCGATAGTACTGGACAGATTGTTCT